TGGAAGAGATTATATGCTGTACTAAAGAAAGTTGATATTTCTTGTAGGGTATGCATCTAGTATACATGAAAAATTCCAAAATTTGAATGGCATAATTATGCTGGTGATCATGAAGATCACAAATGTTGCAAATTAATTTTATTCATTAGTGTTTTGGTTGCAAGCAAACAAAGCAATTTGAGGTAACTTAAGGGGGAAAAAGTGTAAATGGTGGTGAGAGTAGGGTGGGGATTTATTGGAAGAATGTGGGAGAGATTACAATATGAAAAAAATATAGCAGAAGAATTGGTCTTTGGAAATACCTGGAACCCAATAAGTTTAGGTATACTGAAAATCAGGGCTTAATGGGCATAAATCCACCTCAAATTGTTTTTTTAACCTTGCATCACTACTTGAAATTCAGACTCTGAGGACAGTGTAGGGGAGAAAAAAAATCTTTGTTTTTTGTCCTTCTAGGTTCTCAGATAAAGCCTCTGTAACAAAATACAGATTAACAAGAGAAAAAGAAACAAGTTATTAGCATGGATATCTCATACACACATGAGAAAAACTCAAAGATGTGGCTAAAACTTGGAGTTAAATACCATCTTCAGCTACCAGGTGAAATAAAGGAAGAAGAGTGTGGGAGAGGCAAGTTATGGACAGGTGACTATTAGGTTTGTGTTGACTGGAGCCAGGCCCAGAGAGTTTAAGAAATTTTATTGTATTCTCTCACAGCAGGCTGAGACCAATGTGTCAGTGTCAGCAAGCAAGAGTAGGGAGTTTGGGATATTTATATCTCCTGTTGCAGGTCAGAGCAACCATTTGGACTGGTTGCTGGAGGGAAGCTGAGTGTAGGTGATTTACTGGAAACTGGAAGCCATTAGTCATATCTTGCAAAATCTGAAATGAGGATAATTAGTCATATCTTGCAAAACTGCAGGGGCAGGGTGAGAGCCCCAAATGGAGTATAATGGAAAAGTACTGAGCCCAGGGGAAAAGTAGAAAATATGCCTAACATCCCAGCATTCCCCCCTCCCCTGTTAGCTGACGTTTCTGTAAACTGGGGTTGATGAAGGCTGATTTCATTCTTATGTAGCTTCTTCATGCTTAGGTGGGATGTAGAGATGTCCATAATTAGTCAGTGACTGAGGGAAGTGCTGATATCTAGTATAGGTCTGGAATAGCATCAGTGACAAGGAAACAGCACAGTAAACTAAGATAAGGTTTTTTTTAAATGTAACTCTTTGCATTCTCCATTAATACAAGTTTCTTGTGACTTAGAGTCATCTTTTTCTTCTTGGTACAGAGAAGGAAACACCCTTACAAATACAAATTATATATATAATTTGTAACTAAATTACCCTGCAAAAGTGTCTACATAGCAAACATCCAAACCTGTGGAGAATTTTTATTTTATTTAGCCAAATTGACAACATATGCTGGGGAGCAAGAACTCAAACATCTGGAGAATAACAGCTTCCTTTATGCATTTGCAATTAAGAAAGGAAAATAAGGAAGAGCTGGGAGAAAACATGGTGGTGATTGGATTACAGGATAGTTAACAAGATTTTGTGCCTTCTTGAGGGTGGTTACTGCTTCTTTCAAAGGTACATGCACACACACAGACACACAATTGGACAGAGCTTACATAAGTGACTTTTTACTGAACAGTTAATGCCTGGGGCTGACTACCCACCATGACCTGCCCAGTTAGGAATATATGGTCAGATCACCATAGGAGTTTTCTCTCCATAGACCCTATTTTTTAAATTCACAAATGAGTAACTTAAACTCTGCTTTCAGAATTTCTCCTTTGTCTGCTGTTTCTCAGAATAATTCTTAAGCCAAAGGGGCATACGTTGGGGTGGTATATTCTAGTCTTCTACAAGAGTGTCCAGTTAGCTTCGCTTGACTCTCATGATCCTCACTTGGCTCTGTAGAGGACATTGGAAACCTGGATGGACAGCCTCACCAAACTGCACATGGAAAGGGAAAGGATAATTCCCTAAGGGAAGTGAATATGCAGCTATCCAAATGGGGGTAAGTGGATATGAGAATGCTCAAGAAACAACAACACAACACATGCTATTTATATTAAATACACTTAAATACATTTTCTTCTTGTTTTGAACCAACATCTTTTCACCCTTTCATAAAAGCATCTTCTAAAGAGTTTTTTAAACGAGGTATTTGTGAAACTCCCCTATAGGAGACCAGAATATGTCACCTCAAAATATGCCAGTACATTTTGAAACGGCATTTATCAAATGAGAAAAAACATTCAGTATTCTCCATATGTGAATTGATTATTGAGGAAGAACTACTGGGTGAACACTAGTCTCTTGTGAGTTTGGTTGGGATAGGTCTGTGGTCGGCAAACTGCGGCTTGCGAGCCACATGCGGCTCTTTGGCCCCTTGAGTGTGGCTCTTCCTAAGCCTTAAGAGTACCCTAATTAAGTTAATAACAATGTACCTACCTATATAGTTTAAGTTTAAAAAATTTGGCTCTCAAAAGAAATTTCAATTGTACTGTTGATATTTGGCTCTGTTGACTAATGAGTTTGCCAACCACTGGACCTATAGATTGCCGACCTATACTATAGGTCATCATCTCCCAGGTGTCTGCTCATCCCCAGGTGCACTGAACAACTGTAAAGCTGAGGAGCTGCCCTTGAAACATGATGACCAAGCTACATTTATTGGTTACTCATTGAGATCTGAGTTACAGGCAGGTGTGCAGTCACCTAGTTGAAATGTTAATACCATGGCCTCTTCTGTAATTGTTTCAAGGCTGGAATCATTCCGTAATACAGGAGGCTAAAGAACACAAGGTACTATGCTTTAATGTTTGGTATGTCTTCTCCCCATACCTGCCTTAGGCAAAGTTACATGAAGCGAATATTTCTCTTACTCTGTATCTCTCTCCCTCACTTAGCAAACAGAATTCTAGTGGACTATACTTACTGTGTCCTCAACATTTCATCCTCCAATTTACTTCCTCTTCCTTACAACAAAATTCAAGTCTGGAGCCTCATTCTGAGAAGAGTTGCCAACCCCACCCTATTTCTCTGTCAAGTGAAAATGATTATTATCAGATAAACTCAATTGTGCTAATATCTTCTACAGAGTGTATTATCCATTGGGAAACTACTGCCTTAACCCAGCTAAATTGCATTAGCCTCCTTAGAGATATTTTTAAAAATATGTTTTTATTGATTTTAGAGAGAGAGGAGGGGAAAGGAAGAGAAATAGAAACATCAGTGATGATAGAGAATCAATGATTGGCTGCCTCATGCAGGCCATCTACTGGGAATCAAACCTGAAACCCTGGTGTGTGAGTGGGAATTGAACAGTGAACTCATGGTTCATGGGTCCACAATCAACCACTGAGCAACAGCAGCCTTAATAAATGAGTCCAGTAGGAATCTCCGTCATTCCCTAGCTGATGGGGAAGGTTCTTTATAATCTTGGGAATTTATAGCTTTCATGCTGATGACAGCCTGTATTTTTATATTAGAAATCTCTATCTTCTGAAGCCAGCGAGAGGACATATTGATGGGCACTTGTGATGTTGATTTCATCTAAGTCCAAAAAAAAGTACCAAGCCAAAAGATGGGAAAGGAAGAAGACCAATGTAACAGAGCACACACTATGAGCTAGGACCATAATACATGTTATACTAAATCAGCTCTGCCCTTCCCCACATTCCAAATCTGAGTGAAATTCAGCATATCAACACAACCAATGGCTGGGTCACAACTTTTCCCCAACTAGTACATAAACATTTACATTCTCATCATATGCATAAGCACATTACACACATAAAATACCTTAAACTACACACAGCATAAATCTCACCCATGTATAATCTCTATCTAATACTTATACCAATCACCACACATACTCTTCACATATAACATATATAAATGTCCACACATTGGAATGATATAATTTATTGTGAAGGGAGGATCATTCAGCTTGGGTAGGTATAAGAAATCAATACCAGGAAAATTCCTGGGTTAGTGAAAAAGAGATGCCATGTGAGTTGAATCATATATATATATATATATATCCGGTGCATGAAATTTGTGCACTGGGGCGGGGTGGGTGGGTGGGTGGGTGTCTCTCAGTCCAGCCTGCACCCTCTCCAATCTGGGACCCTTCAGGGGATGTCCGACTGCTGGTTTAGGAAATCCCTCTCACAATCTGGGACTGTTGGCACCTAACCACTCATCTGCCTGCCTGCCTGATTGCCTGTAACCACTTCTGCCTGCCAGCCTGATCACCCCCTAACCATTCCCTTGCTGGCCTGATTGATACCTAACTGCTCCCCTGCCGGCCTGATCTCCCCCAACTGCCCTCCCCTGCTGGCCATCTTGTGACAATGTGGGGGCAGCCATCTTGTGATGTGAGGGTGTGGGGGTCAATTTGCATATTACCTCTTTATTATATAGGATATATATGCATATATATGCATATATGATTCAGTATATATACTATTATATATACTATTATTATTGATAATAATAAAAGCATAATATGCTAATTAGACCAGACGATCGGACGACTTTCTGGACAAAGCTGAGGCTGCGAGAGCCGAGCCCCTTGCAAGAATTTTGTGCATTGGGCCTCTAATGTGTGTGTGTGTGTATATATCTATATCTATATCTATATCTATATCTATATCTATATCTATACCTATATCTATATCTATATCTGTATCTGTATCTGTATCTGTATCTGTATCTGTATCTGTATCTGTATCTATATCTATATCTATATCTATATCTATATCTATATATACATATATATATATATATATAGCAGGTAAATGACAACAGAAGGGTATTCCAGGCAGAGAACCAACATAGGTAAAGTTGTGATAAATAACTCTAAGTGGTTGGAAAACATTGGCACATAAATGCAAAGTAGTGATTAGTAAGGGCTATTCATGTGAGCAGGGCCCACCACTTGGAAAACACTAATTACTCTATTAAAACCAGGTGTGGGTAGACTTTCTAGTTACTGACAACCTCTAACAACAGGATGTCCTCTATGCTATCAACCCATTCATGCCACAATGGAATTCAATGTAGCTGTGGCCCCTGTGCTCTTTGTAGCCCTTTTTGTTATTCCCCTGGTAACACTTGATTATTTTGAAGGGATACTGGACCCATATATATACATTTCTGTAGTAATCTCTCCAGTTCCTGATGCATATGTGCTCAATTTTGTGCCAGAAGGTATAGATGAAGAGGTGATAGTTCCTGTCTTTTGGAGCTTCTCTTTCTCTCATGAGATCATTGCATCTGTACTCATTGAATTCCCAGCTTGCGCTCAGATGGTATTATTTCATGAATTCCCTACCTGAAATGTTCTGGCAATGTACATGGATTCTACATAAGGGGAACAGCAGGAGCAAGAGAGGACCTAGGACCTTTAGAGAGAATGACTTCTGTCACTAGGATCACTTGTGGGTCTACATGGAAGAGAGAGGAAAACATAATTGCAACACTGCCCTGAGCTGAGCTCCACCTTAAAATTCCGTTCCCTGCCAATGTAGATATTTAGGCTCAATTTTACTATTTGGTTGCAGAGTAGAAGATGATAAATCTCATTAGATAATTACATTTACAATTACTGAAAATATGCTAGAGCCTGAGTGAGACAAGCACAAAATTGTAGAAAATAGATGACGTTTATTTTGAGAATTCCAAACACCTCTTTACCCAAAACAAGGAGCATTCTAGCTAGCTCTGTTTTACAGTCCAGATGGGTTCTCATAAGAAAGTGTGTCTGAAAGAGAATGTTATTTTAAATTTTATGTCTGTGAAGTAGAAAAGATTGTCACCCTTTAAGGCAGTGGTTCTCAACCTTCCTAATGCTGCAACCCTTTAATACAGTTCCTCATGTTGTGGTGACCCCCAATTTCATTGTTACAAATTGAACATAATTAAAGCATAGTGATTAATCACAAACACAATATGTAATTATGTATGTTTTCTGATGGTCTTAGGCGACCCACATGAAAGGGTCATTCGACCCCCAAAGGGGTCGCGACCCACAGGTTGAGAACCACTGCTTTAAGGGAATGTAGAAGATGAGTAGACTTGGGAAACGTTTTCCAAGAAGGAAGGCTTTGGCTCTCTGAAATCCCAGGCTGCAATTAAAACTGACTCTTCAAGTGGGGTACTTATCTCATCTTGACTTCCTTATAGCACTTCCCCAATGCCTGCCTGAAACATGGTAGCACTTCTGACTGCCCACTTGCCTTCTCTGAGGCCATTTTCCTAATTATCATCATGCTGAATGATCTTGATTTGCCATTAAGAATACCATCATAAAGTTTTGAAATAGTATTCTAAGCAACCAAGTACCAATATTGACACTGCCATCACAGGAGCTACTCTGGTCAAAATCAGGGCCTAGAGATGTTTGAAAAAGTCTCCCTTTTAAACCAGCTCCCTGTCCTCGGTTACCACAAGGAGTTAACCTGGCCCTACAGAAACTGTAACCTGATTCTCAGTATCTCAGAATTGGTGTCCTCAAATGAGCCTAATAGTAGCTCCCTTATGACCTGTGAGAGTCTAATGGGATTTGTGTAACAGCACTTTTGGGGGTCTCCAGTGCTCTGTCAGGCACAGAACAAAGGATAGGCAGGTTCTCATTGGTGCCACCCTATCCCTAGTTCAAATGGCCTAAACAGGATGAGAAGACCAAGATTTAAACTGCTTCAATGTATTATGCTTGAAAATATTGGGGAGGAAAAGAGGTGTGAATTAGTTAGATTAATGCTGAGTTAAATTCAGGTCTTTGCTTGTTACAAGTTGGATCACTGCATTCTCAACTCTACCACCTAGAAGGTCAAGCAAGCCCATTCCAGTGTTCCTGGGCCTTTCCCCCAGCCATGCTCAGTACCAACCCTTCTAACTCTAACTTGCCTTATTCAGATTCCATACTCACCTTCACAGGTCCGTGGGGATTAGTGTGTGAATCTAAAGAGCAGAGTCAGTGTCCTTTCCCTTTTCTTAGAGCTAAGAAGTCGAGGCAGTGAAGAAAGGAATAGATGTGGGAGGGGCAATGTTCCAACTGATTGGCAGTGGTGGAGGGGGAAGGGGGGACAGCCTTACTCTGTGTACCTGTTTATCTCCTCATCTAGAACACTGGGGGTCACTCTGAGAAGAGCCTGGAGCAAAGGGGTCACACATCAAAGACAGTCTTCTGGGTACAAAGGAATGGCAAGGCCCTGGGGGCAGGAGTTAAAGAACAAAATTCAACCAAGTAAGTTTGAAGATCTAATTGGCTGTACTAAGCAATTCAGGAATTGGGCAGCATGCCATCTAGCAACTAGAAAGGTGCTTTGGTGAGTTGTACAAAATGGAAGGTTTTTATAGGCAGAAAGACAGTGGGACTGTGTACGTAAAGACTGGATTATTTTAAGCAAGGACACCTTCGTTCAGGGGAAGGCAGGGGGTCATATCAGGCAGATTACCTTACCAGTGCTGATCAGGAAATTCCAAATTGATTGGTTTACAATTCCACCTCTGGAAGAGGCTGAAACTGAAATTTGGTTATTTATTAAGTTTGTGTTTGGTGACAAGGCTTAACAAAAATGACTCACAATTTTATTGATGATTTTTCATGTTTATGATTTTTTGATTTTATAATGGTGTGAAAGCAATATGCATTCAGTAGAAACTGCCTGGCCTAAGCTATGATGTTCAGTAGTGCTGAAGAGAATGGAGGTGCAAACAGTCCAAAATGGAGTCACATTAGCTTTGATTGTAGTGATTCTTGCACAATGCATATGTATACTGAATCAGGTTGCACATCTTAAATATAAACAATGTATATCTGCTATAATTTAAGTATTTTCAGTTTAGTCCTTTCACACACACACACACACACACACACACACACACACACACACACACACACATGCAAATGCACACACATATACACATGTGCGCGCACACACTCTTAGATACATACTTCCCTTATTTAGCCACTGGTGTCTTCATACATCTCTGTTCCCCAATTTGTTTCAAAATATTCAAAAGGAGAAGGGAGGGGTGTGAGAATTGTCTTTAGTAAATAACACAGATGTTTCTGTGTCCTGGTCATAGATCCTATAGGCTTTTTTTTTCATGGACCAGTTTTTGAGGGTATTAAAGTGTTGGTGCATGTTTATAAACTAGAAAATAAGAGGGTAGAAGAAAAAAAATCCCACACAAGAACAATAGCACCATCTTCACAGATATCTGTAGTTTAAGTTTTTGTTTAAAATATATTTTAATTGATTTCAGAGAGGAAGAGCAATAGAAACATCAATGATGAGAGTGAATCACTGACTGGTTGCCTCTTGCATGCCCCACAAGGGGGACTGGCCTGCAACCGGGCATGTGCCCTGACCTGGAATTGAACTGTTGATCTCCTGGCTCATAGATCGATGCTCAACCACTGAGCCATGCTGGCTGGGCTCGAGTTCTTTATTAAACGGAAAACATGAAAAATCTTTCCAGTCAGGAAGAGTGAATGAGTCTTAATGACCTAGTCTAGTGCATTGTTAATACTTTGACTTGCTACAGTGATAGAAAAGTTTGGGAAGAGAAAAAATATTCTTTGTATCATAATCTTATTAGACCCAAACATAACAAAGTTGACAAATTACACAGACAGAGCTCTCATTTTCCCAGTTTATATTTCCAAATTTTTAATGCTTCCCCCAACAGCTGACTGCTGGGAATACCAAAAAGCAGATACTTTCAAAACACTCCTATGTGTTGAAGTAGAAAAAGTCCTGGATTAGTAGCCAGTTGAAATGGATTTTTTGCTTCAGCTTTTCCACTAACTTCAAGGTTGTTAGCAAATCTTTTAACTTTGGGCCCTATATGTAGTGACATCAACATTACAGGGTGTCATGGTATTAAAATGAGATAGCTGAGATGGAAGCACCTTAAATTACTTGCAATGGTATATCATCCACATAATGACTTAATTCCAGAGAATAGGATGTGAGAGGGTTAAGCTGACCAGTATTATAAAAGGAAGCAGAAGAATTTACTGAAAAGTTTATTATAGAAAAGCCCACACCCAAATTAGGTTTATGCCTCCATTTCTCTTTGATACATTTAAGAGAATTGGTTATATAGAGAAAAAGAAGTAGATATAACCAGAGAAGACAGAACCTGAGACAGCTCAAATGCATTACTCATTGCTATTCAAGGAGTAAGCTAAAGGCCAACCACAGGGCCATACCCCCTTCAGGGTAGTATCTATCTGTCAAAGTGCACAGGCACCGGGGGGTTACCCTCACAGGCAATGACAACACGCCTAGTGCTGGCCCTGGCCCCATATCTGCAGTTGGGGGCTGGGGAACTTCCTGTATCTCTGCAATCTGTAACACTCACTACACCCTCATGGCAGTTCATCTTGCCATTCTTGCACTGGATGTTGGTGGTGCTGCAGATGCTACGAATGTTCCAGATGTCTTCATGGATGAAGGTGTTGAACTGCTTGCAACGAAACTGAGTCATCCTCCGTCTTTGCATCATCAAGTTACAGTATTTAATGTCGCCACCTGTCACTGTAGGATCCACATGTTGCCGCAGGAATCGTTGGTACGTGGACTGGCCATAGGAGGGCTGCACCAGCCCCAGCCCCAGCAGGGTCAGTAGCGAGAGCAGAAGCAATGAAAGGGTCTTCTGGAGAGCCATCACTGCCTTGGAAGTGCCTGGAGAGAAACCAAGAGGTAGGAGAAAGGAAGGTAACACATGGGCATCAGAGAGAGGAGTTGAGAATGGCAAGCTGATATTTCCTCAACTCTATAGTCTACTCTTCCTCCCCACTTCTCTGCTCACAACATTTCTCATCACTGCTTCCCCAAGAGTAAAAAGTTTGCAAACAGGATCTTCTCTGCAAGCAAGAGCTTTTCTCTTATAGAGAGATGGCGCTGTAGCCAGTACAGTGACTCAGGGTAGAGACTGATGGGCTGGATGTCCAGGTGTATGTGTCCTGTATGGTAAGGGTGTGAAAAGGGAGAAAAGGCAGATCTAAATGACACTGGAGTTGTCTGTCTCTTGAGGAAATTTTCTAGTCATGTGATCTTAGGAGAGTGTTTGGTTCCCTGGAGACTCTGATTCCCAAAAGTTTGGATAGACAGGATATGCCAATGAGAGTTTATGAACTGATTTTAATTCCTGACATCTGGGAATTGAGGAAGGTGTGGAAAAAGGATAGAGTAACATTTAGGGTTAGCCTTTCCTTTCATGAGTCTTTTTTTTTTAAATTAAGTATTTTTTTCCCCAATTACAGTTGACGTATCTATCTATCTATCTATCTATCTATCTATCTATCTATCTATATATATATATATAAAGAGGTAATATGTTAATTGATCCTAACAGTGTCCCAGTCACTACTGGTCAATGGGCTATGTGTTCAGAGGAGCTCATGGGCTGGGACGGGGGTGGGGACTTCTGCCCCCAGCAGAGGGGTGTGCAGGCCTGCCCAGCTCTAACATCACGCTGCCACGGAGGCGGAGGCAGCTCCCGAGGGAGGCACATGCAGGCAAGAGCTAGTGGGACTTTTTGCATACATATGTGTGTTTGGATGTCCTTCTGATGCAGACAAATTATGGGATGAGAATGAATCTCATTTTATTGAAGATTTTTGTTGGAAATTACACCAAAGTGAAGGTGCCTGTATAAACTGTGTAATGCATGCACTTAATGAAATTCAAGAGGTATTCACATTACATGGAATGAAATGTTCACATTTCAAACTTCTGGACTGTCTTTTATTAATGAATACAAATACATGTGATGAATCATATGAGCGACAACAAGCAGAGGTTTTTTAAAAAATATATTTTATTGATTTTTTACTGAGATGAAGGGAGAGGGATAGAGAACTAGAAACATTGATGAGAGAGAAACATCAATCAGCTGCCTCATGCACACCTCCTACTGGGGATGTGCCTGCAACCAAGGTATATGCCCTTGACCGGAATCGAACTTGGGATCTTTCAGTGCGCAGGCTGACCCTCTATCCACTGAACCAAACCGGTTAGGGTGACAGGCAGGGGTTTTGATAAATTCTCTGAATGATGAACATTTGGCAGCCTTTCAGACTATAACTTCAGCCATCAAAGATCAAACTGTACACCCCAAATGCTTTTTCTTAGATGGTCCAGGTGATAGTGGAAAAACATACCTTTATAAAGTTTTAATACATTATATTAGAGGTCGTGGTAGTACTGTTTTACCCACAGTATCTATAGGAGTTGCTGCAAATTTACTTCATGGTGGAAGAACCTTTCATTCCCAATATAAATTACCAATTCCATTAAAGGAAACTTCAATTTCTAGACTCGATAGAAAGAGTGAAGTTGCTAAAGCCATTATAAAGGCCAAATGGAAAAAACCAAGATGGCAGCATAAGTAAACACCGGAGTTTGCTGTCTCGAACAACCACTTCAAAAATACAACTACAAGACGGAATGGACATCATCCAGAACCACAGGAAGGCTGGCTGAGTGGAAATTCTACAACTAGAAGGAAAGAGAAAAGCATACCGAGACTCAGAGGAAGCGCAGTATGGAAGTAAAATACTAAGGTGCAGAGGTGCATGTGGAGTGGGCTGGCTGCTGAGGGCGCCAATTGGGAGGGAGTCTCAGGCTCTGAGCTCCAGTTCCGGGCAAGTCTCTAGGGACCCAGACTCATACAGGAGAAGTGGGACTGTCTGGCATCGGTTGGAACCCCAGGGCAGCTTTCTCTCCGAGGGGCTTGCAGCAATTACTGGGACATTGAGAAGCAAAGCCTCTGAGGGCAGGACTCAGAGCAGCCATAACTGCTAGCCCCGCCCTGTTGATCCCTTGGGACCTGCCCTGCCCAAGCCCTGCAGGGAGGCTTTTGCTGGATAGCCTCAGGAAAAGGCTAGATTAGCACCTCCCTAGAGATCCAGGAGCCAGGAAGCCCAGAGGTCAGAGTGGGACCATCCAGTTTGCAGCTCCTTGGAACCATAAAAGACACACTCAGGGGGCAGACTCAGTGAGCACCAAAGCCCCATTGAAGCAAGTCTTGCCCCAGAGGGGTGTCTCCAGCACAGAAGTTCTCCCACTGCAGACACAGCAGATTCTCACAACCAATTGGCCTGGAGGTCAATTCCTCCCAGTGGTAACTACAACAATCAAGGATTAACTACAACAAGACTGTGCACAAAGCCCACAAGGGGGTGCACCAAGAGTGTCTACCTCAGGTAATTGGGACACTTAGCACAGAAAGTCACTCTGTCGACACAGCGAAGCATAAAAAATGCCAAGACAAAGAAAAAGGACACAAATGACAGAAATGGAGGAAAGCAAACTGCTGGATATAGAGTTCAAAACCACACTTTTAAGGTCTTTAAAGAACTGTCTAGAAGCCGCCGATAAACTTAGTAAGGCCCTTGAAAAGACTGGTGAGGCAGCCAATAAATGTAGTGAGATCCCCAGGAAAACTAATGAGACCCTCAATGTTGTGATAAAGGACTAACTAGAAATTAAGCATACACTGACTGAAATAAAGAATATTATACAGACTCCCAACAGCAGACCAGAGGATCGCAAGAATCAAGTCAAAGATTTGAAATACGAAGAAGCAAAAAACACCCAACCAGAAAAGCAAAATGAAAAAAGAATCCGAAAATACGAAGATAGTGTAAGGAGCCTCTGGGACAGCTTCAAGCGTACCAACATCCGAATTATAGGGGTGCCAGAAGATGAGAGACAGCAAGATATTGAAAACCTATTTGAAGAAATAATGACAGAAAACTTCCCCTACCTGGTGAAAGAAATAGACTTACAAGTCCAGGAAGCATAGAGAACCCCAAACAATAGGAATCCAAAGAGGACCACACCAAGACACATCATAATTAAAATGCCAAGAGCAAAAGATAAAGAGAGTATCCTAGAAGCAGCAAGAGAAAGAAAGTCAGTTACCTACAAGGGAGTACCCATACGACTGTCAGCTGATTTTTCAACAGAAACCATGCAGGCCAGAAGGGAGTGGCAAGAAATATTCAAAGTGATGAATGCCAAGAATCTACAACCAAGATTACTTTATCCAGCAAAGCTATCATTCAGAAGTGAAGGTCAGATAAAGAGCTTCACAGATAAGAAAAAGCTAAAGGAGTTCATCACCACCAAACCAGTATTATATGAAATGCTGAAAGGTATCCTTTAAGAAGAGGAAGAGGAAGAAAAAGGTAAAGATACAAATTATGAACAACAAATACACATCTATCAACAAGTGAATCTAAAAATCAAGTGAATGAATAATCTGATGAACAGTATGAACTGTGATTGTAATAGAATCAGGGACATAGAAAGGGAATGGACTGACTATTCTTGGGGTGCGGGGGTAAGGGTGTGGGGGGTGCGGGAAGAGATTGGACAATAATTGTGAACCTATGAGATGAGGACAGTGGGTGGGAACTGGGTGGAGGGGAGTTATGGTGGGAAAAAAGAGGAACCAATGTAATAATCTGAACAATAAAGATTTAATTAAAAAAAGAAAGAAATGCAAGTTGCTGTACTATTAAAAAAAAAAAAAAAAAAAAAAAAAAAAGAAATGCCAATGATAGCCAAATCTCTGTGTTTAAAAATTGATTTCTCAGCCAAGGATTCAAATACCGAAATTATAAGCACACACTTCTGTTTAGGGCCTTGGATATGAACCAAGTTTTATTCCTATCAGAAAGGGGATATTTTAAAACCCGAATTAATAAGAATAAAATAAGAATTTGGAAAAAAAAAAAAAGCCAACTGTCTCATTATTGATGAATGCACCATGGCATCCAGTCATGCTAGAAATGCCATTACTAAGAGAAATTATGAATTTGGATGCTGCATTTGGTGGGAAAGTTCTCCTTCTCGCAGGGGA